TTAAATGATATGTAAATGGAAAAAAAACTTTCAACGACATATTTCTAAAATAAAACCATGCAAATAGACTTCAAGCATAATACATTATACCACGGATAAATCCGTGATTATACATGTGAGAAAGTTATTTAGAATTGCTTCGTGTTTTAACATAGTGGGCATATAGACAATAAAATATAAGTCATTTGTATTTTTATTTCTTTTGGATATGTACGTCTCATTAAAAATATTTTTGGTTAAAATCATCAGCAATTAATAGTCACCGTATTTTTTAGATTTTTTTTTATTTGCAATGGCCAGAGCACATCGTTTTTATTTTAATCTAAATGTCACAATTTTTTTTTAAAAGCACTTTAGTGTTTAGTTGTCCTTTTCATTTTCACACTAAATTACATTTTCAACTTGTTTGCTTCTTACAATTGTATAGAATTTCTTAAAGTATTGCATGTGAACAAAGTAAGTATCCGCTGGTTTATAACATGTATAATGTGTACTCCCTACTGTCCGAAAATCAGCACAGGTAAAGCAGAATCTATTTTTAGAATAGCGAAGGTTAACTCATATCGTGACCTAGAAAATGTATCTAATTTATTATTGTATCATAGTTTGGAGACCTTTCTGTTGTAAATGTGTTAGGGTTAAATCGTATACATATACATGCACAGTGCATTAACTGGAGTGCGGGTATTAGTTACCCGCACTCCAGAGCATGCCCATTGATTGGCTCATGTTTGCTGGGGTTTACATATTGTGACTGCAGAGAAAGGGAAAGCGACAGAAATGTCATATTCAGACGTTCGTTCATTGGTTCATTTTTGCCGGGGTTTCATATTGTGACAACAGGGAACGTGCTTTTATGTTTGACTATGATACAAAAGAGAAAGAACACCAAAACACTCGGTAATCTGATTAATACTCGGGGCTACGCCCCCTCGTACAAATCAGATAGCCTCGTGTTTCGGTGCTCTTTCTATTACATAACTGCTGAATATTCAGCTAAACCCGCGGTATGAGTCACGAAAATAGTTCTTCTTTTATTAATGCGCGAGTTATTCTAGAGTCCAAAAAACTTTTGATTTGTTAATAATAATGTTTTGTATAATGTAGAAATATTTATTTCCTACTAATAATTTCTTAGAACTCAGAGCTTACACCTTTATTATAGTATAATTTGCTGTCCTACTTTTTCGACAGCGGTAAATCGTTTCGGCAGTAATTTGCATAATTGCGCAATAATACTACGGGACTACAACGTTTTTATCAATCATATACGTCCATATTTTAACTTGGATAACTTAATTTGAAATTGAAAAGGCTAAATATGGAAGATTTTAAGATATCCCGACATAGTATGGGAGTTTTAAAGGATCAAATTGATGTACTTTTTCTTGGGCTGTTAATCGGTTGAGGACACTTTGCGCGAGTGTAGCAGACGAAATCCCATGTAGATGACTTAGCTCTGAACGCGCCTGAGGGCGCGTCCGTCGCAAAAATGACTTATATTAGTGATAAATATATCTTTGAGCAAAAGTGCGTTCAATGCCATTATTTTTAATCATTAAAAAGTAATGAATCACTTCTACCCCTATAATGAGTCAATGGCCTGTAAATGTACCTTTGGGATTCTCTTTGGGATGCTTTATTTTGTTATTGTTCAATAGTATAAACAATAATAAAAGGAGAAAGACCTCGTTCCAATTATGAAATGATTGCTATTAGTGATAAACATATCTTTAAGCTAGTAAAGTGCGTTCATTCTTTCAGCTTGTAAAGTACATTCAGTGTCATTATTTTTAATTATAAAACGTAATGAATTACAACACGCCCTTTAATGAGTCAATGACATGTAAATCTACCTTTGGGATTCTCTCCCCTCTGGGATGCGTGTTCAAAACACGTACAATTTGTTTACAGCTGCTTTTTTCGTGCCATATTTTACTATCTGATATTAACGAGATGAAAAAAAATGCAATTTATAATATTGGAAGATTAATATTGATTGCGTCGATCCATGACATTACATCGTTACAGAAACTTAATCTCCCCTTTATTTCAAATGATTTGTACCCGTTATAATTGCAGGTTATGGTGTTTCTAGACTAATGTGGCTGAATATTTAGTGTATTTGTATGTTTTCTTTAATAATAGACATCCACAATCTTGTAATTCATAGTAGTCTCATACTCCTCCTCCCCTACAATACACCGCGTTGTTATTTTGTACTGAAGGAATTGTTTTATATGTTATGTTATGTTATAGTAAATTCGGAGGACAACATTCCTTCCTTCAGCAAATGATTAATTGTATATGTTATGCTAGAATATAAAACATGTTTTATTAAGCAATTGCTGAACTGTCTGAAATACTATTTCATCGTTAAAAATATGCAAAGTGCATAGTGAAAAAAGAGCATGACAAAACATTTGTATCCTCGGGAATGCACGCGCAGGATTCTATCATAGTTTAACCCTTTCACTGCCATAGGGACGGCTTAAGCCGTCCCTGTTATTTTCGGCGTATTTGCCATATGGACGGCTTTAGCCGTTTCTATAATAATAATAGTAATAATAATAAATTAATAATAATAATAATAAAAATAATAATAGATATAAAGAAAATTATTCCATCGACAATAATTATTATTATACTAACATATTTTGGAAAATTATATAATTATTATAATACTAATAACAAATAATTATAATTATATTAATTAATAATATAGTAATTTCTTAGAAAATCCTCTGGCAAATAGGTGAACATTAAAACAATAACCCTCTGGCAGCGAAAGGGTTAATTTATGTTTTTTTTATTTTTTACTGAATCTTTTGAATCGCAAAAGAGCTTAAGAAGAACGCAGTGTTAAAGTATAGGTATTATAATCATTTTATATAAAGTGGAACATGGTAAATGACAAATGGCAAATTATTTTCAATAACATTCGCCGTATGTTGTCCGGAAAAATATGTACATGTACTTGAACGTTTTTACATTTAATATAAGTGTTTTTCCTGTATAACATATCTCATGAACGTTTAAAAATTGTTTGCTATAGATACGTATTGCAACGAAGATAAAATGAAAAGAGCCAACAAAAATATAATTTTCTCCCTTGATCACTTTCATTTATGATGAAAACCCCGCGAAAATATTCTACTTCTTGTTCAAAGAATGCTACAATACCATTCAATACTTAATATTCCCCGATATAAGAACTTATTCCTTCAAATAATTATATCTTGTCTCATTTTCCCTTCATTTTATAAATACATTTCATGAATACATTCATAAATATATTTTATTACAAAACATACACAAATGCATCATATAATATGTATGTATATTAGGCTATTTACACTGTGGAAATGGATTAGAACGAAAGATATGAGGACAAAGATCAACAAAGAAATGAGATATTTAATGCACGCAGCCCTTACAATATCCAGTAACAAATTTAAAAAAGGACCACATAAAGAAAACTGGAGACACAAAGGCGAACCAATAACAGAGCGTTATTACATTGATGTAGTCAATTACAACAATGTTTCAATTTCGAAATAGATGCTAATGATAATGTAAGTACGATTTTAACACTTCAAATACCCAATTTAGAACGAAGGCGCAGGACACAGGTAAATTTCTCTATTTTTGACGTGCTCCGGGAACCCCTTAACAAGGTTGCCACGGAAACGATCACACGAGTGCCGGTATCAATTTCATGTTTTTATCGTAATCAAGGTATGCAATTATGATCATGGGTGCGCACAACATAAAAAAAATGTTTAGAAAAATGGAATTAATAAGAAATATCGGTTGTCTACGGATTTTCCGGACAAACCTCCTATAACTTACTTGTGATACATACAGTTCAAAACGTTTTACATTGATATTGGTGTGATAATGTTCATGTGTCACAAGGCACGAAATTAGACAAAATATGTTGTCCGTAAGAAAACGTAGAAACTACATAAAGTACAAATGCCAAACAAAATGAAACACACAATATCCATTGATGCACTGATGTCCTTCCATGTTATATCGGCATCTGGTATATCATCTTCAAGAGGTGCTTTCAGTTGATTGTTGTCTTCGGGCTTCCCTACAGTTCCAACTGTATCACTTGAATCTGTTTCCTTGTTTTTGAAATTTGACGCGACGTGTTTTGCTTTTTTGCAAGTACATTCCAAAATATTATGCATTGCTTTAAGATAATGCGGGACTCTTTCATCATTTGGCTTATTGTAAAGCTTCAGGTTGAATATTACCGTTAGCATGATAAGGTAACTGACCGCTAAATCAGCAATAACCTTATATGATATGATTGGTACTGGTTCCGAGCTTTGGGGAAGTGACTGATTCAGAATGGTTAGATACACCGATATTGAGAGTAAAACCGTGATACATAATGAAATTCGCTCTCCGGATTCAGGAACTAGCAAGAATACCAAATTGTTCAAACAAGTTAAGAAAAACAGTGGAACTACAACATTTACTGTAACAAATTTTGACTTCCTTTTTATTTCCATGAAGAAGTCTAGCTGAGTACCGCCTGGGTTCAATATGAAACGTGTGCTTATCACTGACCACATATTATTATTATTCATTGAGTCAATATTAATGGCATCAGATGCCGGATACAGCGACACCTCTCCCTCTCTATAATTCCAAACATTAAATGATATATGACATGTTTGTGTATCAAACGGATATTTCTCCATATTGCCCGGACATGACACGGTGAAGAGTGCCCCAGGTGCGTATGCTGCATATCCTTGCAGCCAGTATGTAACTCTTTCCTTCGCAGTACCCACTGGCTCAAAGCCAGTCGCTGAATTTACACAATACATGTCTGGAACCCAAACCTTGTCGTAGCCGACGTCTATGTAACGCACATCACCGTAGAAAATAGGATCCCAAACCATTCTTAAATCAAACCATTCTAATCCCAGTATAGCAATAAAAGTTAACGTACCTTGAATTTCGTCATAATCTTTAATTGATACGATACCAAAAGTCACTTTAACGTTAACGCTCTCATTCGCCTGTTGCGCCGGTCTGACGTACAAATCATAATCCAATAAAAGATCGTACAGCAGATTTTCAGTGTGATTAATTCCCGACGTTTCTGGATACAACATCGCTAACTTTATCATATTCATGCATAGAAAGCATTTCAAAATGTTCAACATCATCACACTTTGATACATCTTGCTTTTCAGATTACTATATAGAGAATCTCAATTGTGCTGAAATTTGTTAAGTTGCACTCGATAAAACATTTTCAGGTGATACGAGACCTCTGATATAAAAACGATTTAACATTTGTATAGATTGGTTTCAAACTAATATTGAGCACGGTAGCACTTTATCATAATCACTTTTTCTGCTCTGGGGAATAACTATGAAAGAAATTGACCGGAAAATGTAAATTATTTAGCTGATACTGGGATTACAGATGTATTACAAAAGAATAAATCATTTTCGCACATCAACATTACATGTATTGCGGGATTGAAAAGAAAAAAAAACAACAAAGGAAAAAGAAGAAAAAACATTTATAAAGTATATGATTTTGAAATTGATAAAAGGTCGCATACCTGTAAAATCTAATTATATCTACACTAAGGCGGCACAGTTTGAGAAACCAATTTTTTTATTTTTCAAATTGGAAGCAAGAGATGTTCTCATCGGGATCGCCAAAGAAATGGAATTATGTAAAGATGTATCTTTTCTTAAGAGAATAATTAAAGCATAGGTAATTAAAGCGTAAAATAAGAAAGTATACTGTACGAATGGTGATTGAGCGAAACTGACATAACTTTAACGATGTCATGTGAATCATGAAAATTATAACAGCTATTCTTTACCGTTATGTAATTCATATTAAGGATTTATACTTTAAATTAGTTGATTTGAGAATTTTAGAATTCCGGATTGTGTTGCAATGCAGCAACAATATTGTCTTATGCTCTGAACAGACTAAAATACATGACAATGTTGGATATTCTAGTGCTCATTAAACATCGACTATGAAATGAAACAAAAGATAATTACTGGTATTAATATATTATAGAATTATTGTCCTACAATGCTTTAAGTATCTTTAGTAATTTTAACAAGACAAAAACAATCCCAACTGTCATAGATATTTTAAAACGAACGTGAAGATCATAAAAAGAATGTATTGGTCATTTGACATATACGCCGATAGGTGCGTGCAAATTAATAACGCTGATAAAACAACGGATACAAGCAAATTAAAACGATATCAACATGGAACTTGAAGATATATAATAATTTCTGTGCTGAAAAATTCATTTTAGACAATTTCTTAGAGTAACAGACCAATATCACATATACCTGTTCCCTATATATTGGCTGAAAAAGTGAAGATCATTAAGTTTATAGAACGCGCAATATGAACAATACAAAGACATTTGAAAAGGTCTATACTATCAACACTATTTTGGTTTGCTGAAAACCATATCTGTTTCCTCCTGCAGAATGGTTAAGTGTGACGTTTTATGAAGAATAAAAACATATACATGTAATTATATTAGTCTCATAAATACTTTAACAGTCTTTGATACAGTTTGGTAAAATGAACTTCTGTTACATCAAACTAATTGGAATATCATCAAACGTTTTACGAATTACAATCACGATCAAATAGAAAACATGTAGTATTTTACTTCAAGAAGAGGTTGTTGTAATGTCTTCACCATCCATTTAGTTACTGTGTTAGATACTTCCACAACTCCGATCCTACACTATTATAACTACTTGTACTTTAATTAACCAGGCTTCAAACTCACTACAAATATTCTTGAATATTGTATATTTCTATACCCATGTAAATGGAGGTTGCTTTAGTTCTTATAAACACTGGTATGCCACTTAGCCTTTGTTTAGTGTCGCCCTTCCTTGTCGATATAATTTTTCATATTTTAGTATAGGGTTAAGCAGTATTCTATCTTCCAGTTTACTGTATCCGAATCATTGAATATAAAGTACCAGGAACAAAAAATACCAACAAAATTGAGAAGTACGAACATTACAACATTTAACAGGTGCAACACAAGACTAACAGCCCCCTCCGTGGTCCAGCGATTCCTTTCCGTTTTAGAGCAAAGAAAATAATAACAGATAAATTGCAAACTACAGTGTTGCATTCATAACGTCTGCCCGTAAAAGACAATAAAAAATGCAGCATTTTCATGTCCCTTGGCATCGGCTTGAGCGGTGATCAGGGGTAGGAACACTGATATTGCATTTGTGCATATTTATTTCTTGTTATTGATTATACGTAAACTTAAGTATCCCTTTTATTAAAGGTAAAACACACCACTATTTATCTATTTTTAACATATTTAACACCAAACTTATTCAACTTGCTTGACATAAAGAAACATTTTAAGGTGAATGCATGTTTATTTAAGAGACAACGTTGCAATAAAAACATGTCATTTGATTCGGTAGTACACTTAACAAATCTTATAAGTGTGCATGCATAAATGGTCTCATAGGTGTATCAATATTTGCCCGATCATGCTGAAATTTTCAATAAATACAGAAAAGAGACAGGCTATTATTTTTATTTGTTTTCTTTTTTCATTCAAGATAAATTTTAAGATACATTTCTAAAAAATGTGAGTGCGTGTCGAAAGTCGATGTTGCAAAATGATTTTTTTAAACCGTGTGTGCCACTCTGACTGTGCATTACAGCCTTGGAGCGTCGTCGCATCAATGTAACGTAAAGTTGGAGATAATTTTGGGGTCGGCGAGGAATGTTATAAACGCTGCCAGTTACTCTGTTATGAAGATAAGCTTTCTCAAGCCTTGGTATTACATTGCGGTGACCACCATGCGTTGCGCAACCTCCAAATGATATAAACATGTAAAAAGTAAAATACAAATATGCAATTACGTTCGTCTTTGGAAGGAACTGAATTTAAATGATTTTCAGCTTTTACAATGCAACGGAGTTTAAATAATTATATAAACAAATTATTTTTTACCAGTCTTTGATTGGTGTACTCCAGCGTAGACCTATCCTAGGGCTATGCCACGCTGTTGAATAGATAATGTACCCATATGCTATGTTTTTCTGATATGTGGATCTCTGTTGTATTCGAGAATATCATGTGCAATTTTCTTTCACGCATTCACACAATTTTTTCGTGCATTGTGTGAATTTTGTACGTTCACGGTTGAACGCGCCGCATAATTAAATTTGACAAGTTTGAGCACGGGAAAAGTGTGAAAATGCAGCCAATAGTCAGAACCAAAAATTTTGTAAAAAAATATTGATGAACAAAAAAGTTATAAGGACATAAAAGGTGCACACTTATAAGATTTGTTAAGTGTACACAAGTATTTACATGTACTCATTGGATATGGTGAAACCATTCAATTATTTTTGTCTTCTAAGCAGTCAAATTTTAAATACCAAAAAGAAGAAAATATAAGACAGCAAACGAGTATCATTAATTTTGTTACATATTTATTTCCATTATCAACACACAAAGATAACAAGTAATGGTTACCAGTAAATGATATACAAATTATTAATTTCAACATATATTTTTCAACATACATTATAATTATCTTCCAATCCAAGCATGCTAAATCTTTTATGGTATGATATATTTGATATAAAGTATAGAAATTTAATGCAGAGATATCACATGACAATGTTTCTTATTCTCCAGTTTTAAGGGGGAAATATAAAAAAAATATATCTAACTGATCAAACACCAATTTGTTTGTTTTGGCATGGTCTTTTCTATTTAAAAGGCCATGGTTTTGATATTTATAAGTCATATTTAAAGAACATTTAATTAATCGTTTCGGGAAGCAAATTTTGTAATATCCCTCAAGCACGAAAGCATTGTTTTAAGATTACTTTTGCCACCATTGTCCCTTTCTTTTTCTGAATGAGGTGTCCATTGGTGATTTAAACATATCATCTTCCTGAAATTATATCATATGCAATTTTAACAACCAACATCATATCTACTTTACTTCCCTTTGGTTTAAACACTCCCCTCGGTATATCCAGCAGATCGGTAGCTGGTCTGCAGTTAATTTTCATGATGCCTATAACCGATCACATTAAGTATCATTTTCAAGGTGTCTATACAAAGTGACTTTTTGTGATCTGCGTGCGGAAGGAAACCAATACGTAAACGGTCCGGCGGTAATATCATATTTACAACAATAAAATATTTAAAAAAACGTTATGGAAGAAATACAACCTGAACCGTTTTTTGTATTGCTTTTTTTGCCCCACGTGGATAACAATACGTCACAAGGTATAGGAACCGTGATCTTGGAAAACTTTTAAGCTTAAATAATCTTAAATAATACTTATAATGATAATAAAATACGTAAATAGACATACCATGTCTTCCTCTGCCATAAATCTGATGGGAATTAAGTTTGTGTATTCCTTTCCAGGATTCTGTCAAAAAAAGAAAACATCGATATTGTTAAATTACTCTATCATAGTTCAAGAAAAAGCTTAATTCGTGAAAGATTGCAATTTCTCGCCATTTTCCGCGAGAATTAAAAAAAAAATATCAAAGTACTGAAAACACTGATGTCGTTACATACCACAAATTGTTAGGTCTTAAATTATCAGAAAATGATTCATATTCGGACACTAATGGCTACAGTAGGTATAATTAGCTACAATATTATATATATCACTACTTCTAGATTATAATAAAAATGTATGCCAGCAGACGCGAGTCTTTGCACGAAAAGTAGTCCTCGGTCGGGTGTTCCTGTTGTTGTTTTGTACTGAAATCAGCGAAAATGGGGAAGTCTATATGACGAAGGGCAGTCAAATTTCGTAACAGGGTAACACTTTTGGTAAATTTAATAATTACTGCATCTATATACACTTTCTTTATAAAAAGAAGAAAAGTATTCACGAACATTCTCCAACAAGGGAGGTATGATATAAAATAGTATGAGGTTTGGTGAATACTGTAATAATTAATCGGTTTTGAGGGAGAACCATTTATTTACTATTATAATCTGTTACAACAAATGGAGAATAACGGGCAATTCATCACAGTTTTGATGGTGATTAATGATGGGATCACAACGAATTTTATACTAAATATTAAATGTTGAATTCTAGTGATGAAAAGCAAACATACATATGTAAATCATTTACGTTCAACTTTTCAGTGAAAAAAGATAATATTTGTTAATTGGATATGAGGAATTTTAACACGCATTTATAGTCTGATGTTTTGAACTTCCTTAAAGAATGAAGGTTACTTATTTGCCTCGAACTTCTGACAGAGAGTTTGTTTTCTGTGCATTTGCTCTCATATATATGTTTTACACCTTTTAAATTTCTAACAAGAGGACTGTTATCACGGAAGACTTTTGAATAAAGAAAAAGATAAATATAAACTTACCCCATCAAGTAATTCTGAGGATTTCAGCTGCATACTTAGAAGTATGTCTTTTGTCTCGTTTAAGTGTGGGTCGTAATCAACTGAAGAAAAAAAGTGTTATTTAACATTAAATGCTTCTTTCAAACACAAAGTGGATTAAACAGATAGATTATCCCAACAGGTTAAAACATTTATAAGAAACGTTCCTTGTTGCCAGATATTTCAAGTTATCAAAACAGTAATTTGTTATATTTGGATGTCACCCCGGTACGAAATTAGACCCAGCCGTTGTCGTCTAGAAAGTAGTTCTTTTAATTTTTAAAATGGCCTATTTCAAGTCATCCCAATTAATACTGGTTATATTTTAAGTTTATCTTTAGTAATTGTGTACATGATGTTTCATTTCTGAGTACTTTAAAGGTTGTTTTTGATGTATTTTTGCTGGACTTCATTTCTGGGTGGAAGGTTTCAGGAAGTACTATGCACAAGAATACAGACCAGTTACTATTTGGAATATTCTATAGTGATTACAGAAATTAAAACCTGTAGAAAAACTCTTAGGGCTAATGTATTATTTTTGTGTGCTAAATTTACTTGGACTGCATTGGTTTTTAAAGAGATAGCCATGAAGTTCCAGTATCGGTTATGCTTTGTACAGAATTTAGCCTTAAATTTGATGGATTTACTATAGGATATATAATACGAAAATTCACTAGGCCGACACCTATTACAAAACTGAAGGTTTGCAAACGCTATTGGTAACATATTAAGCAGAAACTTGTTAAACAAGTATCATAAAGCCTAAGATTAACGGGTGTAAGTGTGATATGAGAAAACTGGTTAATCATAAAGAATTGTGGAAATTATCAGACCCTTATTTAACCGTAAAATATTGCAATATTGAATTAAGAAAAATACATGCACTACTTAAAATATACTAAGTCTGTTTGGGGGAAATAACCATTAACCTCTAACAGATTCTACTCATGCGACTATTGCAGACATTGATCATGGCCAGGACTGTTTGCTATTTCGTCCAAAATGCATTTCTTAAAAAAAGCCATTTACATGTAGAACAGGGTCATTTGTTTGAACATTCCAGCCATCCTGGAACACGTCCTCATTATATAACACATTTACCACTCACATTTATACTCTCACCTGTTATTTTTTTCGTTTCCTGTTTTTCTATGGTACCTTTCGGATGGTTTATGATGACAGATTTCGACTGTAGTCGGAACCTGTACGTAACTGCATTACTACATACATTGTTTAGTGTGATTAGTCTCCGGTAGAAACCGACGACTATATTTGTAACAGTTTAATATTATACCTATGGTAGGAGAAGGCATTAATTTCTGTAAAAAAAAGCAAAACAATTACTGAACAATTAAAGACTACAATTGTTTTCAGTAATCTCAAAAATTCAAACATACAATAATGTTGCTAAATGAAATGAAATATTCAAATACTGACATCGTAAAAAGCAACATTACCATATTTATTAAATGAATTAATGACGTATCCCTATGGACCAGTCATTGAATTTAGGGATGCTTTTACTTTTTTTAAAGTGTCAAGCGTTGCTATTTTATGATAAATAAATCATGCATGATATTTGAAATGACACTTTTAACTTATCTGGTTGTTTGTATCTTATGAGACCTATTCTATTTTTTATCTTATTTATTATAAACAGTTTCTCCCCGAATCACGTGACTACACGTTGTATGTTATTGTTATGAAATCTATTTATAGTAACAAATGGCTGATAAGATAGACATACAGGTAACATGTGAATGGTTGGCAGCTGATAAAGTGCAAATCAAAGTAATTTTGTATGAAAAATCTCGGTATGACAGTAGAGGTCGGAATCGTATTGGATACACAGAGAAAACTAATAAACCATCTTTGTGTTGATAGTTTATCGCACTGAAAGGCAATTAAACATTAACTTTATCGTATGTAACGACAGGAATATTGATTTCAGCTAAATAATATATTTTTTCGATAGTGCATAAGAATAATTTGTTTATGCAGACACCATTTTTACAGTAGAATTGCATTGTTTTATGCAATAATTAAGCATATATATGTTCATAGTCACTTTACAAATAGTCGATGATCGGTAATAATTTGTTGGTAATTAACGGATGCTGAAGAAAACCATACGTACAACGGTATATGTATAAAGTAGAATTACAAATATAATTATAATCATATCACTTGCTTTACAAGCCTCGATGACAAGGTGTTAGATTTTAAGTTAGTTTCAAATTGAAGACTGTAGGTCCGATAAAGTGATTTTTTATGTTTTCTTTTATAATACTTTTTGTTTTTTGCAAAACTTGACCGTTTATCAAAATTATGAAATAAAAAAGTGCTAGAAATGAAACACACGATTTATCAACTTATGTTTCATAAAGTTAAAAGATATAATAAAAATCGATTTATGAAAACTACACACAGGATTTGTCCGAGATTCGAACTTGCGCCTACTACATGTAGGTTACAACTTCGTCATACTTACCACTAGGCCATCGAGCAGTATTAATTTTTATAATTATACATGTAATTATACTTACAATAAAATCGTTAACATTAATCATAATAAGTTATGTAAGCAAACGAAACAGCTCCCGAAAATTATTGAGTCTCGGGTAAATATTGCCAACAATACTTGCTTATTTAATAATGATAACAGTTTCTTGACAAAATTGCCAAGCAAGTTTGATTCAATTAAAAAATTATGATGTTTTATTATAACATAAGATAAACTTTTTGCATAAAACTCTCATCAAGGAAGATATAATTGTGGCAAGTAAATGAAAACGTGTTTGTGAATAAACATTACTCAACTTATTGTTCCTCTTTTCTTTATATTCGAACCATTGAACTGATATTTTCTTTTATTTATGATAATACAATCATATTTCTATCCGGCGACTTGATGCTTTAGCATCAAAATCTCTACTTGTCTCTATCTAAGATGGTACCTCTACACTTTCTGTGGAAACAAAACAAATAATGATCTTTACTGCATTATAGAACAGAACAGAATAGAACAGAAATTTGTTTACAGACTTATTCATATATACATTGTTTTGTTAACAAAATTTTGATTAAACATATTATAAGATCTTATACTTATAACTTGTGAACTTTTAAATATTGTAATTTAGTTAAATAAGACATAGAAACGCCATTCAGAGCTCGATTAAAATTTAAGCGAAAATACACCCTCAGCTTATTAAACTGAGCTATTTGTTCATGTAATATATAAAATTAAAGAGCTATCCCAAACTCTGGAACCAAAACAAATAGTATTTTTATACTGCATTATAGCAAGATTCATAACTTTTTAATGATATCGATGGTAATTTAGTTAAATGAGATGTAAAAACGCTGTCCAATGCTATACTAACATTTTAAGCAAAATATACTTCACTCAACTTATTATTATAAAATTGAGCTATTTATTTGTACAATTTAAACTATAGATCAATTACAAATACAACGAATGTATAGTATAAACAGATATATAGTGTTATAGTTCGGTAATGTACGAAGTATCATCAACACCAATAGCCAAGAGAAAAACTACGAGAAAAAATCATTAAACATGTATATTATAAAGATATCTACTAACCAAACTGGATCTGGGTCGGTGAAATCTGTAGCGCCATAATTCCCGTAGGTACTTTATAAATTATATATATTATATTACAAATATGTCTCCTAATTCCGTCATCAGGTATATAAACATAGGTAGATGTTTCGTGTTTATACCGACTTAACTTTCATTATTTAATGCCAGGTTGAAAATCGCCCCATATTGAATGTTTAATCAATGTCTATGTTTACAAATGTACATCTGCGAACACAAAACACACGAAAGTACACCGTTGGATCGATATTGAACTTCATCAAAGCAAATAACCAATATAGGTTATTTTGTATTTATCTGAGAACGATGTTACTTTAAAACAATTATACGATATGATAGCATTAAATGTCACGGAAATATTATGGTTCAGCCATCGTAGCCCCTTTTACTATTATTAATAGTGATAAAATGATGTGCGTGAAGTTAGCCGGACAGCCGGAACAGCCGGAGCAGCCGGAACTCATTTTCGTCTACTCCGGCTGTTCTGGCTACTCCGGCTAGCCGGAATCCGGTTCCGGCTGTACAGGCTGGCCAGAGATTATACGGTAAAACCTGTGCAAAAGACCTTTGGCTAATTCCATAATGTAACGTCTAATTACTTATCACAACGATCTCCGGCTATTACGGCTAGCCAGAAAAAACAGAAATCAAGGCTACATAAGATGAAAAAAAAATCCGACAGCAGATTGAAGAATATAATTATGTGCCATGCATTGTGTGGCCGGGTGTCCGCGGGTATAGGTGTGTCCGTCGGGAATACTCTGGTATTTTGCCGACGGTGAGCCGAAAATCGTTCTAGACAGCTCGTATCTGGCCAATTCCCGGCTGGCCCCTGTGGGGACCAGACTCAATTACGCAGAACCGCACATGGTGGGATGGTGAGGTGGTCTGACTGGGTGTCCGCGGGTATAGGCGTGTCCGTCGGGAATACTCTGGTATTTTGCCGACGGTGAGCCGAAAATCGTTCTAGACAGCTCGTATCTGGCCAATTCCGGCTGGCCCCTGTGGGGACCAGACTCAATTACGCAGAACCGCACATGGTGGGATGGTGAGGTGGTCTGACTGGGTGTCCGCGGGTATAGGTGTGTCCGTCGGGAATACTCTGGTATTTTGCCGACGGTGAGCCGAAAATCGTTCTAGACAGCTCGTATCTGGCCAATTCCGGCTGGCCCCTGTGGGGACCAGACTCAATTACGCAGAACCGCACATGGTGGATGGTGAGGTGGTCTGACTGGGGGTGTCCGCGGGTATAGGCGTGTCCGTCGGGAATACTCTGGTATTTTGCCGACGGTGAGCCGAAAATCGTTCTAGACAGCTCGTATCTGGCCAATTCGCGGCTGGCCCCTGTGGGACCAGACTCAATTACGCAGAACCGCACATGGTGGGATGGTAGGTGGTCTGACTGGGTGTTTTCCGCGGGTATAGGTGTGTCCCGTCGGGAATTACTCTGGTATTTTGCCGACGGTGGAGCCGAAAATCTTCTAAGACAGCTCGTATCTGGCCAATTCCCGGCTGGCCCCGT